TTTAAAATACGTATCTTTATTACTCTAATTTCAAAAATAAATTTAACTTTTTATGACTGATTATAAATATAGCGAATTTTTTGTATACTTGTGTAATGTTAGCTTCCAACGTCGTTTTTGCTATTTCCCAAAACTGACTTGTCTCATGCTTTCGCAGATTGAATCAGCAGACAATGGGTATATAATTAACATAAAATAATTAATTAATAATCACAACACTTGTAATATGAATGTTTTTAATTTAAGAATACATTTATTAAAATTCTCTGCACTTAATACTAATACACATTTACGGAGTTAGCGTAAGAAGAAATAATACTTTTTCTCTCTAGGGAAACAAATCACTACATTTTTTATATTTAATTCACCACGCTATAATGTTGTAAGAAGTATAATCTCATAGCAACAAAAATACAGCGCACGTAATAATCCTTTAGGTACTGCTACCACAATGTAAGCAAGTACTCCATACATTGTGGTAGCAAGAGGTGTATTCTCGAGCCCAAGCAAAGTAAAGACGTTTCTAAGCGTAGAGGAAATTATGCCATCCGAAGCTATATCCAATCACGAGGAGGGATTTTTCCCAATGTGTTTGGCCCGGTACAGAATGCTTATATGCAGACCGGACTAAACTGTAGAGAAATGGCGACCAAATATGACCACTTTTGGCGATTTCTCTCCAAATTTGGTGACAAAAGTTAGTCTATCAAAAGTCGACAAAAGTTTATGAAACCTTAGAGACATTAATCCAATTAGGAGTCATTTCCAAAATAAATTTCTCATTCCGCATTCGATTCAAACCGAAACAGCAGCAAACAATTATATTGAAAACTCCAAACCTTTATTTCAAAGCGCTAACAAGAAACTTTAAATAAAAAAATGTTTTTATAATGTGCGAACAAGCTTCTGCATTTTTATGATTTTCCAGAATATTTAGAGGTGTAATTTTGAGTTTGCCCTAGTGTTACTCACATCATCCAATGGTCTTTGTAGGATTTCAATAAAAATTCATGAAATGTGTGTCTTTGAAAATTGAATTTTACAAAGGCGTATCTTAATTTTCTACAAAGAGCAGCTGTTTAATATCAAATTAAAAAATATATATTAATGTTTTAAAATAATAATTTATTTCCTAAACAGTATTGATTAATTGATTATATTATCTCCTAAGTTTAATTAAAGTAGAATTATTTTAATAGTGTGCATCCATACTGGTAAGTTATATTTTGAAAGATGTTTTGAAGTAATTTGAAAGCAAAATGTTAATAATGTTTTAACGGGAACTGGAGTTAAATCATCACGAAGAATAATATTTCAATTGTAAAAGAAAAAATTAAAACATGTAATCATTGTCATTGATCGGAAATTAGTTGACTTTTCAAGGGGAACAAACCAACTCCCGTTCAATGAACAATAGTTGATAAAAATACGTAAATACGAAAGTGTTTCGTCTTTACTCGAGTTATAAGTTAAAGCCAAACCGGCAATTCTAGTCAGGCCAAATATTTCCGCGAATAGTAGGAATTATGAACCAATGCTGATACTCAAAAAACGTATTCTTATGAAGCATTTTAGTCAATTCAATTTGGAGTAAAAATCAATTACTGTAGAGAAATCCTATAAAACTTGAGTAACCGTCCCCGACACTTTCATGTTTATGCATTTGAGTACTATATTATTTGTAGAAATTAAACATTGGAAATTGTCATTATGAAATCGAATTCAAAGTAAAGTTGAAATAAACATAGAAGATTATAAAAAAGTGATAAATAATGCAAACTTTGTAAAAACAAATCAAAGAAAAAAAAAATAAAAAAATAATATAAAAATAATATAGAAAATAATATAAATAAGATCAATGAATGTACATGAAGATATAAAGGCCAGAAAAGGTATTAAGTAACTTACATTCTTTCTAGTGGGGGAGTTGGCAAAAGTGTTCTCTTCGTGTCTGACTCAGAAGTGTAGGGTGTCCGAAAATTCTTAGCGGCAGTAGGGGCTTTGAATAATATCAGTCGGTAAGACTTGGGTGAAGTAATTTATGGTAGTGGGTGGGACTTGGAATTCTTGAGGGATGTATTTTGTGGAGTTCTTATCTGAGAGAGACCGTCTGTTAAGATTTTTTTGAAAATACTAGTGAATGGAAATTAATTAATTTCTGGCTAATTGTCGTGTCGCAATGATTAAGAATTTAAGAAAGGAAAAAGGCATTTTCACTGTCCAAGAGCTAATAGACAGTTTAAAGGCATGAAATAGGCCCATTTTTTAGTAACAGTATATGTCTGAAGACAATTAGCTTTTTACAATATATACAATTGAGTAATTACACTCTATACAAATCTTCCAACTGACAGTCATCCAACTTATACCGCCTTCTCAGCTTTAGGAATAAATTATCATATCCCTATCAGTTAAATGATTTAGAATGAGTATTTAACGTCTGCTCTTTTAAGGCATTGGTTGATAAATTGAAAGGGAATTAGATTATTTTTGAGAATTTTGATAAGGATCTAAATTTCGCGTTGTAAATCTATTGTACCTGTGCATATAGTTTTAATTCGTTGTATTTGATTAATTATAGTATTGTTAATTACTTTTTTGGATATGTTGGAGTTCCAATTTATTAATTTGTTAGTATTAAAATTGAAGTTTCTTGTTTTGTCAAAAAGTAAAATTTTTTTGTAGTTAATGATTTGAAGATCTAGAAAGTCTATGCTATTTTGTGAATTATTAGTTTTATTAAGTGTAAGACAATACGGATAAATCTCGGAGTGTTCAATTTTACCAAAATTATTAATTGTAATAAGGTCATCAATATATCTGTAGGTGTGTTTGTAGTAATTTAACTCTTGTGGTTGTAGACTTTTTTGGAAGTTAAATTCTTTGACAAATAAAAAGATATCACAGATCGAGGTGTTGGAATGTAAGCCCATTGGCAATCCTCTGACTTGTTTAAAATGTTGATTTTGAAACTTGATGTAGTTATGAAAAAGTGTGCATTTTAGGTAGGTTTTCCATTTGTCAAAAGTCATGATATTGAGTATATTAGGGAAAAGTTTTGGTAGATCAAGTAGACTCTTATAGATTTCTTCTAGAGGAAGTGAGGTATATAAGTTTTCAAAATCATAGCAGTTAATGTTTTGGATGTTAATGGTATGAATGGCATTAATGACAGGAGTGTTATTACGAATGATCCAGCAATAGTTATGATTAGTGTTACAATCATTGAAAATAAATTTACAGATTTTATTGAATTGAAAAATAATAGTCTACATTTTTCTTGTAATTATTAGTTCCATTAGCTATAAATGTTTTAAAATATTTATATAAAAGTCCACGCGAAACTCTGCTTGCTTTTACTTCTCTGATTTAGATTTAATTTTACCTGTTTCTTGCGTATCGATGTGTAAGTTCTGTTCTGCATAGCTCATGTGTGTAATGCTCTAAATCTGTTCTAATATAATAGCCAGGTTTCGCATTTTAAAAGAGATAATAATAGCGCAATATAGTTGCTAAATTTACAATGGACGTATTTATTCTGTCAATAAACAATAAAAAACAGCTGAAAAGGTCAACACACAAATCTTTCTTTAAAATGATAAACTACTAAACGATTAATGACTTTACACTGTGAAACTCGAAAATATCGTTTGCTTTCATTCTTTATTTATTGCACATAGCTCTTAAAAATGGGAAGGGTATATCATTTTCAATACCTTTTCACACTCATATATTTAAGCTAAATATCAGTTGAATTACATCCTTTAGGGGTATCAGCAGCCGCTACCGACAATGTTAAATTGGCCATTTTCAATGTACCTTTTCTGAAAGTCTGCTTTAGATAACGCTTGTAATTTTTTGTGTAATTGAAGTATACCTATCTGATTATACTGAAATGAGCTTTTGAAACATTTTGAATTTCAGAGTAATTTATATAATATTTTTGTTAGGCATAGTAAAATTTAGCACTTTTCTCACACAAAAATCTTTTAAAATTTGTTTTCTTAGTTTACCACAAAAAGCTGATATCAGTAAATATTCGGAAACCTGATAAATAAGCCATAAAAAATTTAGATACCTGTGAGCAGTAGTTTCTGAGAAAATTTACATCGAGTATAAAAAAAATCACGTTTGGAGAAAAACGCGTTTTTATGTAAAAATCCTCATTGATCAAAGCATTCGATGAAAAATTAAAAATATATTTTTTAAAGTTCTAATTTTTATAGAGATTAAAGAATGGAATTTTTAGAAAGATAAAAGTGTAGAGAATTTGAAAATGCAAAAATCCGAGATCAGAATTTTTTTAAGATTTTTGGGTTCCAACACCCCTTAATAACATGTCAGTTCCATTTCTAACGATGTTACTTACTTAGTGTCACAGAAAAAATACTTTAATTATATAATTTTGAAGCACAGTCAGGAATAAGGATTTACCAGCTTTAAATTTAATATATAGAACAATGTAAATCTCAATGCAGAAACATCGCCTTTGACTTCTTAATAACTAGAAGAAAATTGAGTTAAATTTGTTTAAAATTCATTCCAGGAAGTAGAGAAAGAGAAATCTATCTTTTCCCATGTTTCGTCAACAGAATGAGGTTCGTTCTTCAGCATGTACTGCCTTTTTGTATTGGGGAACATTCAGAAAGAAAGGCGACATGGCAGTGTGCAACTCGTTTCATTTTGAATATCTGAGTCTGAAATCGATGAGTCAGAAAATAACTACGGATTAACGCAATTACTAAGGATTTTACTACGCGATGAAAAACAATTATTGTGTTTTTCAGTTGTAAATTTATAGGCGCAGCTCATGCATTGCGCACACCAAAACGCGGCTTTTTGGGTTTTATATGATTTTAGAAGACTAGTCTGTGCAAAGCCATCTCTTAAAATCATACGTAGGCAAAAAATAAAGGTATATAAAATTCATTACATTTAAATTATGATATTACATTCGAAAATAACTATAAATGTCATTCAATTATTATTTTGCAACTTACAATAAACAGTTAAGGTCCATCCATCCTCTATTGCGCTATTGGATAGTGCTGGGTTTTGAGCCCTGCAAGACAATATCTTTCCATTGTCTTCTGCTTTAGGAAGGAAGGTAAGCGAACTGGATGTCAGATTATCTGAAAATGTTTCTTTCCCGGCTTGGATCCTTTTGTTATCAATCCACCAAGTGAGTTGCGCCCTAGGTCGAGCCCCAGAGCTCTCACAGGTTAGTTGGATCTTGCGCCCTGCTGAGAAAGGCCTCTGAATAGTCGTTATTCGGACATCAAGAGGCTTCACTGAAAAGAAAAATATTAAGTTAGCTATTTTCAAAAATAACCTTGGGCTATAATAGTTGATTTTAAATAATAAAAATGGTCATCAGCTTATAAATGTTTCTAATTTTACTAAGGAATAAAAGTCGACATTTTCCCTGCATGGCATCGTTTGAAGTATAAATATGTTATTTAGATGTCGCCATATTGGGAAACAAACAGAGTTGAGAGAATAAATTGTTATCTTTAGTTATGCAATAAAACATGAGCATTAAAAATAAATATATACATACGTCCCTACAGATGCCCATCATACACATGAAGAAATATTTCACTGACAAATGAAAAATCCTATGGGAAAATTCACCAAAAAATAAAGGATACATGAAAATTATCAGACTTCCTAACAAAATGGCTATTTTTAACAATACTCATTTAAACCAAATCCTTACTGGCCACGGAAGATTACCCTATTATTTTAAGAGATTCAACTTACAAAGTAATGAACTTTGTGCTTCTTGTAATGGAATTGGAGACGCGAAAAATTTTATGGAGGACTGTCCTATTTTCGCCGATCAGAGGTATAAGGTACTTATAAGGTATTTCTCCCGCGTGCCTGCCTTCGTGTTGTAGTGGTTCTGCACGCTGGGCCGGTATCCAGATGTCCGTGGTTCGATTCCCGGCGAAGGCGTTTGCTCATTTTTCATCTCTCCGGCCACCAAAAAAATCCTAATGTCTCTACACTTGAGCCCGAACTAAAAGGGTGATGAATAATGACTCTCCTCACCCAGGATTTGGCGATTGTGTCCCCCCCAAAATCCCAGTCGCACTATAAAAGGGGGAGTATATAAGGTATTTCTCCCACCTACTTGTCGTACCTTCGTAATGTAGTGGTTCTGCACGCTGAATCGGTATTCTAAAGGTCCGTGGTTCGATTTGCTAATTCCGTGGTTCGTTGCTAATTTTTGAAATCTCTTGCTTTCAAAAATATCCCAACGTCTCTACAAAGCTTTACAAAATTAAGAATGCTATATATAATAATAATTGTGATGTCAAGGCATTTATATCTTTTGCAAAAGATGTCCTTAAATTTATTAATGCAAATAGATGTGTAATTGGAATTCTGATTTGATGTTGTTCTTTGTGTTAATTTTTGTTTGTATGTTCGCGAGTGCTTGTTATATGTTTTTCCCTATTTTTATTTTATATTTGAGTATTATTTGTATCTTATTTATATTTTGCATTATGTATTATTTATTTTGTATCTGATGTTCTTTTGGGATCTCTCTTCTTTTTGACCATGAGGCCACTTCGTGGTCAGGTGGATCTGTGTGTACCCCCAATGTATTACAATGTATTACATACGTCCTTACATGTACATATATATGTATAAACACTTGAAAAATAGTTCTTTAGATGAAAGCATATTCTTTATTTTCTAGCATAGTTTCTTTAGATATTGCTCACATTAAATAAACTCAGAGTAATTCGTGGTGAAGCATAAGACGGTTTAGAGGCGAAAAAAGACACTGATTTTAAACTAGGCGCTAAAAAATTAATATAATCATGCTGCCACCACGGTACATAAAATGTAAATTACGAAATCTTGAGAAAGACAGCCGCTACGACCAATTTACATTAACATATTGTCTTACATATACAGGGTGATTAAAAATATCTGGCAGAAATAGGAAGGCAGTTAAGGGGAACCGAAGTGAGCAGAGTGTCTGAAGAAATTTATTAAGGCGTTATAAATATCGCACTGAGGCGCTACAAAGAGCTGTTGAGAGGTAAGCAAAAGCAATCTTGAGGCGTAAATCCTCATTGCAACATTTATCATTTTTGTTTATAGTAGTTGGCTGGAAGGTTTGCCGTTCTACTTATTATGTTTCTAATTCTATCTTGAAGCTCATAGTTTTGAGACAAATGCAAGATAGCTACACTCATTTTTTAGATTCTCTCCCATTTTCATTATTAGTTCATAACAATGTATTTGACTTTAGAGCTACTATCGTATTGTACCTAAAAAGAGCAAAATAACTTAAATAGCATTTTAAATTTACTCAAATAATAAACCTCTGCAGCAAAAGGAGTTAAGAAAGCATTGTAATCGCGGAACATTTCGGGAATATTTTTTCAACGAAAATATCCATTTTGACCTCTCTCGAATTCATGTAGTAGTTTTTATTCCGTGACATCGGTACATACGGACAGAATAAAAAAACTCTTTTTTTCCAAAACGGATTGTAAAATGTATTCTAAAGGGGTTAATTCGTGACGTCTGTACTTGCGTACGTATGTATGAAGTCAAAAACGAGTAGTCTCAGACTATTGGAATTGAGTATATGGTAATGCTATAACATCTAATTGTGCATCTCCCGTTTTGGGTGCAATCGCCGTCACCAAAGGTATATATATATATTGTTACTTGGCTCGATGAGCTCAGTATTTTTATCCTCATATGTTGGTAAATTGTGCATTTTTCCCTTTAAAAATGATAGAATTATCTTGTTCTTATGCTCGAGTTATGCTTTTAAGCATTTATGCATTCAGTTAATCTGCACGTAATAGTTGTAGAATTATCATAAATTGAAAAGTTGTTTAAGCGCAGCTAAGCTAAAGGAATAGGAGGAACCTGCTAAGTTTCAAATACAAGCTTAGCAACATTTGAAATAGCACATTAGAAACTTAGCAGAATAGTGGGTGTCCGCCGAAAACGGCGCGGAGAAGGCAACGCAAGACTGAAACGTCGTGGTACAAAACCTCGTGGAAAAAAGAAAGCAAAGAGGAAACCTCGTAGTTCTAAAACATCGTGGTACAGAATAGCGTTATCGAAAAAGAAGCGGTTCAAAAACTTCGCAATTTCAAAACATCGACATAGAAAATATCGTGGTAAAAAATAAAGAACCTACAAATTATCGCATGACCACAACATCGCACACATTCGAATGTCAGGTTTCAAAAGCTGCAAATGATTTTCGCATAATGATTTGGGAGCGCAAGAAGGAAAGACGGATATTTTTACTTTCATATTTCATATTTTTGAATGAACTAATAAATTTTTACTGGAAAAGTAAGAAGGAAATTTAAGCAGTGAAAAATTGAAAATGAGTAGAAAATTAATGCGATTAGCACTTAATAGAATTTTAAATTGACATAGTTAATTTACAAGGTTCATTAATAAATTAATCTATTTTTAGAAAGTTTTACTCATAATGTTTCAGGAAAAAAAAAGACCGCCTAAAATTGTTTAGAAAAAGGAAGATAAATAACTGCATGAGGTTACCTTTATAAAAGTTGCTTGGTTTATGATCAAATTACTTTCTTTCACGTTTGTTAATGTAATATTGTTTTGGCTAAAATTATATCTTATTTTGTTTCTGTTCATATTAAAGTGCCATTAACATTTCTTGCCCTTCCATATCTTTACGAATACGAAAATACGAATATGCATTTACAACTTTTAAAAACCGAAACACGCATGTGTGCGATGTTATCGTCATGCGATGTTTTGTAGGTACTTTATTTTTTGCCACGATATTTTCGACGACGATGTTTTTAAATTGCCAAGTTTTTAAACCGCTTTATTCTCGACGACATTTTGCACCGCGATGTTTTAGAACTGCCATGAACTCTTTGCTTTCTTTTCTCGCACGACGTTTTCGTCTTGCATTATTTTCTCCACGACTTTTTCGTCCGCGATGTTTTCGACTGTAACCGAATAGTAAATTAGGTCAGTTTCTGCACCTTTCAGTGTGTTTTTGCTGACCGGCATTAAAATTAAACTTTCAATTTCGTGCACCGAAGCATCTGTGTTTTTACCTGCTGGCCAAACTGCTTCTTTTTGCGCAGAAACAGTAACGTTAATTGTAACTTTTTTAAACAGTTTTAAGTGTATTTGGTGTTTAATGTTTTTCTATATTTTTCAACTTTTAATGAAGATATTCTGAATTTTATGTAATTTCAAATTAAACCAAATTAATTGAATTAGAAATATATCTCTAATGAGATTCGAGGAAATAAGTTTAAATCAAGTGCAGCAAATTGTGTGTAAAATTTAATAGGCAGCACTAGGAAGTCATGTGGTGTTCGCACTAGATTTTTCATTTAATGTATTTGTTACCAAACGCAGTTTGAAGTATTTGTTATTTCCTCATTGATCATAAGTTCGCTGTCAACAGTACAGTATCACAAAGCTAACAACTCATATTCCAACATCTAATTTCGCAAGCCAAATTAAATGCTATTCTTATTTTGGTAATGCACAAACAACAAGCAATATGAGGGTTTTCATTTTTCATTACAATGATATGGCACAAGACCTTGTGTATTTGAGATTTAAAGCAAAGACAAAAGTCATCCAAATTAATTAACATTTTACGATTTATCATTATTTCGATCAGATTTCCTCATGGCATTCTTATACTTATGGTTTATCTTATTCTTATGGTTTAAATAACAAATGAAATTATTTCAAATGATAAAAATTTATTTATGCCATTTCGCTTATTTTTTAAAAGCGGAAATACTTCATTTTATAGCTTTAATTAAACTATATGGAAGCATAACATATTGAAGAATAATTATATCAGAGTTTATACATCAGAAAAGATGACTTCATTTACTACACCATATTTATCGCACAGTTAATTCTTCAGACAACTTTACATTTAAGGTCGTCTAGAGAATTCTTAAATACACGAAGAATTTCTTCACAAGAGATATTAAAGCCACTCGGATTCATGCGGCACCTTTTAAGCAATTTTTATCGGCATGTATCATTATCTCCTTATTCAGTAAAATGCATTTTGATATAATCAAGCGAGAAATGTATGCTTTATGCATATCAGTAATTTTGTTAAATTTTACTCTCGTATTCTCTATTTTTGCAAAATTACATAAAGTTAAACGTTCATACTTCTGATCGTAAATGAAAAATACTGAATGCTTTTACGCAAACTACTGAATATTTTGAAGATTTTTCACTATACCTTCGTCTAAAATGGTGAATGTTATAATCAAGT